CGAGCCTCAGACAAGGAGGTGACGCCCTGATATCCCTGAGATTCCTTGACGCTGATTTTTTGTTCCTGGTCTGTTCCCAGCGTGGCAGACAAGAAAATAGTGGGATTATGGAGATTGGACATGGGGACTCAGGGCTGGCACGCTGGGGCTGGGAGATATGACAGCTCTTGCTGTAATGAGATATACACGGTTGGGAAATACAGGGATGGGGTGTTTTTTAACAACACCGAGTACGGCCGAACTTATAGGTTGTTAGAAAAAAAAATGGGTTTTAGCATGTTGTGGGGGGGGGGGGGTGAGGTGGACAGTTGTTGTTTACCGTTGCCAGGTTACAGGACTGCTGTTGCTATGGTAGAATGTCTAAAGGAAAGTACTCTTTCAAACGTAACCGTCCACGGGGCAGGTGAAGTAGAGTTCACCTGTTTCACTGACCACGGCGGATGAAAAAAATGGTGCGGTCCGTACTATACCCAGCCGCCTTTACTTTCCCTACCTTGAGTCATGCACCCATCAGAGTTGGGTGGACTCATGGACGTAGTTAGCAGTCGAACGCTCTACTACTCGACCACACCGTTCCTTATGGTAGAATGTCTGGATGATTGCTATTCGCTAAGCTAATTCCTTGTCATGCGTTGATATAGTTGATATAGAGTGGTTGCTACTTGTTTACTGTATTATGTAAGAATATCTAGGTTGTTTGAAGTTACTGGTCAGATGGTGACCTAGTGTTGCTATGCCTGATACTTGCTGGGTACACACTTAAGGGCGTCCTGTGTTAGAATACCTAGGCTGTTTTAAGTTACTGGCCAGATACTGACCTAGTGCTGCTATGTCTGATACTTGCTGGGTATACAATACACTAAAAGGCGTCATGTGTTACATGATCGGTTGGGAATACCCATGTTTGATGGTGCTATGGTGTTATGTTACATGGTCGGTTTGGAATACCCATGTTTGGTAGTGCTATAGTGCTATGTTACATGGTCGATTTGGAATACCCATGTTTGGTAGTGCTGTGGTGCTATGTTACATGGTCGATTTGGAATACCCATTTTTGGTAGTGCTATAGTGCTATGTTACATGGTCGATTTGGAATACCCATGTTTGGTAGTGCTATAGTGCTATGTTACATGGTCGATTTGGAATACCCATGTTTGGTAGTGCTGTGGTGCTATGTTACATGGTCGATTTGGAATACCCATGTTTGGTAGTGCTATGGTGCTATGTTACATGGTCGATTTGGAATACCCAGGTTTGGTAGTGCTATGGTGCTATGTTACATGGTCGGTTTGGAATACCCAGGTTTGATGGTGCTATGGTGCTATGTTACATGGTCGATTTGGAATACCCATGTTTGGTGGTGCTATGGTGCTATGTTACACAGTAGGTTTGGAATCCCCAGGTTTGATGGTGCTATGGTGCTATGTTACATGGTAGGTTTGGAATCCCCAGGTATGATGGTGCTATGATGCTATGTTACATGGTCGGTTTGGTTTCTAAGTGAATAGTTGTTTTGTCTGGGTAGCTATCGGGTGGTCAGTTATTCATATGTAAAAGTATTACTTTCGGTACAAGTTGTTAATGATGGGTGTGTTTGTGTGGGGGAGGGATTGCTTTTAGCTACTTATGTTTGAACCGTTGTATAGACAAGCTCTGTTACTTCCTTACTTCATGCGTTGTTTTCGCTGCGTGGGTTATTACTCATGTTGGTACCACAGAAAGCGGTGTAGTTGTTTTATTAGCTCTCCATGTCTACCAAATAAATTACCTGTCATCCTATTATTTTTTAAATGGGGAAATTAGCTCTCGTCAAGAAATATTACTTATTTTCTCAATTAAGGAAAAATATATTGATGTTTTTTTTTTCAAAATAATCTACATGTTTTTTATAAATGAGTGGGCATGTTTGTTGTATAGAGAGGCAGAAATATTCTTCTTGATAAGGGAAGAAGAATTGCTTGACTGGACATAGAGCGGTGCTGATGGCCTAAAAAGGCAATTATTTTTGTTGTGATTGCATTTTATTTCGTTGTTTTTTTCTGCTCTAAGAACTGGGATGAGACCAGGCAAGTCTCGCGGGATATCACGTGATTTTTGTCACGTGCTTGATGTGAAATATTTGTCATTCTACGTCCGGTGACGTCTGATAGAATGTGGGTAAAAATAGTTTAAAAACTAGGTTAATTTATTTTTATTTAGAGGATCAGTGTACAGATTGCTGGGTAGTCGTATATAGAGTTGGGACCTTTCGTGATGTGAACGTGATATATTCTGCTCGTGAAATCTCGTCTTGGCCGAGAACTAGAACGAGGCTAGAGAACAAGCCAATAGCCGAGACACGGGATAAAGTTATTAATAACGTGATATCGGCTAGAAAAAAAAAGTGTATGATGTGCTGTGCACTGCATTAGCCGAAACAGAGCGTGGGGGTTTTCGTTTGGGGGGGGGGGTTGTTAAAAAGTTAATTAATTATCACTGGCCGGGCATGGAGAGTAAACAATTTTCGCCACCATGCATAATATCAGAAGAGTGCATCAGCAGGTTATACGCTGCAACTCTACCGCATTGAAATTCATCACTGATTAACTCCTTATGATGTCATCTCAACACTGTAGCACAACACGTATGTTACCAGTTTAATACATCACATTACAGAATAAAACCAGATATATCACCACTGTACTACATCAATATGTCAACAGTTTAATACACCACATCACTGAGTTGTACCACATTTATCACCACTGTACTACAACATCTGTGTCACCAGTTTAATACACCAATATCACAACTGTACCACACCACTATGTCACCAGTTTAATACACCAATATCACAACTATGTCACCAGTTTAATAAATCACACCACTGAATTGTACCACATTTATCAACACTGTACTACAACATCTGTGTCACCAGTTTCATACACCAATATCACAACTATGTCACCAGTTTAATAAATCACACCACTAAACTGTACCACATATATCACCACTGTACCACACCACTATGTCACCAGTTCACCCCATCACTTGTGTTATATTTGCACCATACCATGCAGGGGATGACTAGTTCACTGGGTACTGGGTCACTCAAGTTGTCATTCAACCGCATCACACAAGACATCATCACTCAACCACACCACAAAAAATATCATCATTCAACCACACCACACTAAATATCATCACTCAAGCACACAACACAAGATATCATCACTTAAGCACACAACACAAGATATCATCACTCAAGCACACAACACATCATAACTCAAGCACACAACACAAGATATCATCACTCAACCACATCACACAAGACTGAACCACACCACAAAATATAACACCGAACCTCACCACAAAATATATCACTAACCACACCACAAAAACCTACACTGAACCACACCACATACGATGCCACTGTTGCATACATCCTATACATACCTAACGCCGTACTACTGCAAACGACGACTGACCAGAGCAGCTCACTGTTGTAAATCCCAACTTGTCACAAATATAGTCACCCTATGTCAGGATTGTAACGTTTTGACAACTGACGTCATCATGACAAGAAAATCTTGACCACTGGAGTCATCTTCCAAGATGATTAGCGGGATCTAGTAGCAACCCTAGAGAACACAGGTTAACCGTTGTAAATCAATTTACATTCCAATGATATGAAAACTGTAATTGCTTTTAAAAACTAGTATACAATTTAATTTGAAATCACATCAGCTTTCCCCGACCCCCCCCCCCCTTTCTCTCCCCTCCCCAGTTTGTGTAAGTATGAGCTCATCATGAAAATATCGTTACTATCCGGGTACATATCTAAACATGCAAGCTGCTCCCTCGGCTACTGACGTCACATCTGAGAGAGTAGTTTATAAAAGTCACGGACAGTTGAAAGATGGGAGGGTGACCCACACTTAATCCGTCATTTATCTTCCGGTTCGTCTCCGGCTGTCCGGCTGTCCCTTTAGCTGTTGGCTGTTACTTGATAAAGACCTTTACAGGAAGCGCGGGTAAAAACGACACACTATTAACGTGTGCTGTTTGTGTTTTATTTGCTTGTTTATCTTTTTGATTTTGCCAGTTATACATAAATGTCATTGTTTTCTTATAGACCGTCTCAACACTGTTGAGAAACCCCTTTAAAATATCGTTACAGTTTGTATAACGTTATTAGATATTATAAGCATTCACTGGTATCTTGTTTTAGAATGTACATTATTATTTAGCATTGTGATAAAACATGAATTTTAGAGGCTTAAAGTATTCATAATTTATTTTAAATTTTAGCTTTAAATATCTCAACGTATTGATACATTGCTCCTTGCTTTTAATGTGTATATTTTACGTGTAATCCTGCTTTTTTGTAAGGAAGTTGCAGAAGTGATATTCTGACAACTAATTCCCAGCCATTTAAAGCGTCGCTCCCCCCGTGAATGGCCGCTGATCAATAGCACCGCCGGAGTGCCGGCACGTCTTCTCAGCCTCACGGCAAGACGCGGGGCCCGCGACAACGACCAAATCATTGAAAGTAATATCGGCCGGTGCCTCAGGTACAAACCCTGCTCGCTGGAACTGTGTGACGGTACAATTATTGTCAGCAAACTCCGGGGAATGTCTTCTAAAGCTGGAACCACGGTGTTGTTGTTAGTTGATTTTTTTTTCCTATCCGAGTTACCCGTTTAGTTTATAAGTGATCTCCCTTGATGGACGTTCGTGTTATTTCTGGGATATTGGACAATAGTGAAGCCAGGACAGGGAAACGCAGTGGTGTTTCAGTGACAAGTGCTTGTTAGTCCACGCTGTGAGTAATGAGGTATGGACTCTTGTGAATTGCTTCACCTATTGTTGATGCGTCGCCCACTACACGATTTTACCGACATGGCGATCGAAGCGTAAATGAAGTTACGGATCAGCTCCTGAGCAAAGCTTATTTCTAGCGGGCAATGCGAGGCGGGATGAAGATTGACAGAGTCGCAATCTTCTCCGACTCTAGTTAAATGATCCTCAATGAGGAAGAGCCGTGGAAAGCGGGCGGCGTTGGCCAAGTCCCAGCTGCGGGGATTGTGCTGCAGTCGGTGAAGAGCTCAGCGAGTCAGGTGGTCTACTCGGTAGTACTTCAGACAGGCACCGCGAGGACTGGGGTCCCCATCTTCAACATGGACGACAACCAGACCCAGGACAACTTCACCATAGCCGACCTGGAGATGGAAGAGAACGACCCTGACATTAACTCTTTGTCAGCCGTTGGCCTCGTTCTTCGAGGCATGGCCATGGCCGCGATTATGGTCGGGGCCATATTCGGAAATGTGTTAGTTATAAGTAGTGTACTACGATTCGAACGACTTCGAGGGATCACCAACTTTTTTATAGTTTCTCTCGCGTTCGCGGACTTATTAGTCTCTATTTTAGTCATGCCGTTCAACGCGAGTATGGAGATTTCAGGTAAATGGGTCTTCGGTCGGACTATGTGCGATATATTTAACGCCAACGACGTGTTGTTTAGTACAGCTTCAATCCTCCACCTCTGCTGCATTAGTATGGATCGTTACATCGCCATCCTTCACCCTCTACAATACGAAACTAAAATGACTAGACCACGAGCTTTGTTCATGCTCTGTGTCACGTGGATATCATCCATACTCATCTCGTACATCCCGGTGTACTCACAACTGTACACGACAGAGGAGAACATGCAAGCACTCATCAGTGACCCAGATTCCTGTCCGTTTATCGTCAACAAAGTCTACGCGGGCGTCTCATCAAGCGTCTCTTTCTGGATACCCTGCACGATCATGGTCTTCGTGTACGCCCGGATATTCATGGAGGCACGCAAGCAGGAGAAGATGATCCAATCTTCAGCGTTGTACATGCATTATTCAGACTTAAGAAACGCTAATGGGCTCGCTCTAGACGGTGAAGCGCATAGATCTGAACGCAGACGCATGAAACGTGAACACAAAGCGGCGAAAACTCTCGGGATAATCATGGGGGCGTTTATACTGTGTTTTCTCCCTTTTTTCTCGTGGTACGTTGCCACAACAATGTGCCGGGATACCTGCCCGTACCCGCCCATGTTAGGATCCGCCTTATTTTGGGTTGGTTATTTCAACTCGTGCCTCAACCCCATCATCTACGCCTACTTCAACCGCGAGTTCCGCACGGCGTTCAAAAAACTTCTTCGCCTGGACCGTGTCCCGTGTGACGCCAGTTGTGACCCCACCACCCGGGCCCTCAACACGTCATACGCCAATCACAACGTCCTCAATCAGACAAGGGAAACATGTAACATGGCCGTTCGTTTGTCCGATAGCTCTGTGCATCGACCATGACAATATCGATCTTTAAAAATCACCCCACCCTAAATGTTACGATACTACTGCTGTCGAATACGACTGTATATTTCATATCAATTCTGTGTTTACCCGTGTGTTAAATTTCACCTTTCAACTTTATGTATTTTTTTCTGGAATATCGCAAACAGGAGTCCATTGTTTAATCATCAGACAATTTATTTTCAACACGCCATTTTTAAAATCAAGTTTCTAAAGGGAGACTACCAGGTATAAAACAAAAGCTCTTGTGTAACTAGGAAATTGTTGAGTATAAAACCAGCTTGCGGTGAGTTCGATAAAAAAACTGGTCTGCAGAACTGTAAGTAAAATCTACATACGTCTTTTGAATACCTACCATACTAGATGATTTGGTTCTAATTATTTATAACACATCTCCAAACTTTCTAATATTCTAATGATTAAAACATTTTTTTCTTGCTATTCGAATTATATGTATTTATTTTAAAGTCTTATTTCATTAATTGCAAAAGAGCAACTATCAATTCTTACGTTTTACTTTCCTCTACAAAATATGACGAGATTTTGTTTAATCTGTTGATCTTTATCTGAGCTTAACTATGTGGATAAAGTAGGGGGATTGTTGTTCGTTGAGGTAATATGTTGTGAACTGTCGAACGTTGTTGTGAGCTGTGGTATGTTGTAAGGATAATAACTGTTGCTGAAAAGAAGTTATAAAGTACTTAAGATCATTTGCGCCGTATAAATGGTGTTTTATAAAATATGCATGTTGTTGCTTGTAATGAGAGTTAATTGAGGTGTAAATGTATGTTGTTGTGTGTTGCGACGTTGTGTGTTGCAAGTAGCATTGTATGTGGTTGTGTGTTGTGACATTGTATGTTGTTGTGTGTTGTGACATTGTATGTTGTTGTGTGTTGTAGGTGGCATTGTATGTTGTTGTGTTGTGACATTGTAAGCGGTTGTGTGTTTTGACATGGTATGTTGTTGTGTGTTGAGACATTGTATGCTGTTCTGTATTCTGACATTGTATGTCGTTTTGTATTGTAGATTTAATTGTATGTTTTTGTGTGTTGTATGTGACAATGTACAGCGTTGCGTATTGTAGATTTAATTATATGTCGTTGTAGGTTACATAGTATATTTTTGTGTGTTGTATGTTCAGTATAGGCTGTGATCAAATTATCAGATTGTGGGAAATAACATTATATGTTAGTGTTATTTGTGTTAGACAATTATGTCAGATACATCAGCTGGTAGTGTATGTTTGTGTGTGCTTATGGTGACGTTATATGTTGTTCTGTGACGATGACATTATATGTAAGTATGTTATTGTATGTACCTGGAGAGAATTTATTATATTACAAGTGAAGTGACACTGTATGTCAAAGAGAGAAAGTGGTGACATCGTCTATTGTTTGTATGTAAGAGGTGACATTGTATGTTAATTATAAGACAACGTTTGAAAGTGGAGCCATTTTTATCTTTATGTTTGCAGGTTACACAGCATTATGTTGTATGTATTATGTGCCGTTGCAATATGTTTTGTACAAGTAATACGACTGTATGCTCCACTATGATAATGGCACCTTTTGTTTTGTTCCCTGTGATATAAATATCTCATGAACTATTTTAAACATAAATTTTTACATATTTCCCTCCTATTACTTCTATGAACAATTTGAACCAGCTGTGTTAAAATAATAAACGCTATGCTAATAAATGTCTAATATTCTACCACACGATAACTATGGTATCTCTTGTTGATTTTTTTGTGTGTCTAGTATTTACCAGACAAACGTGAATGTTTACATATAATGTATTTAAACGTCAATACATTACTTTCTTAAGTCTTTAGCCATGTAGCTAATATTCATGTAATACTTTGAGGAACTTATTTTAAGAATAGATCTAAACGGCTAAGAGTAAAGTTAGAATTATAAGCTAGCGTTAAGCTAGGTGTTGTTATTTTTGTTAGTTTTCAGGTTAAGATTCTGTTAGATTATTGAGAATTTTGGATAGAATTTTAGTAAGACTAAATTTTTAAATATAGGATTTTGCAAGTACTGATATTGAGAAATATGATATGGTTAAAGCAAAGATTTTAATTGGCGCTAGTTTTAGTTTCTTAGAAATAAAGACACAGCTATGCTGTACGCCTATCCCAACAGTAGTTAAAAGTTATACAAGACGCTGTCTTGTGTGGAGGAATATCGGCGATCAGCCCAATAGAATCTCATTACCAACTCTGGAATTGGTCGTGTCAGATGGCGACCCGTGTCCTCTGGTTAAGCTAAGCTGGGACAGATGTCGATCTTTTGGAACCGTCCACACACTGAAACTATCATTCTACAACTGACTCACCCTCCCACTGTACCTCTCATTCTTCAACTGACTCACCCTCCCACTAAAACTCTGACCCTCCCACTGAAACTCTCACCCTCCCACTGAAACTCTGACCCTCCCACTAAAACTCTGACCCTCCCACTGAAACTCTGACCCTCCCACTGAAACTCTGACCCTCCCACTAAAACTCTGACCCTCCCACTGACTCACCCTCCCACTAAAACTCTCATCCTCCCACTAAACCTCTCATCCTCCCACTGACTCATCCTTCCACTGAAACTCTCACCCTCCCACTGAAACTCTGACCCTCCCACTGAAACTCTGACCCTCCCACTAAAACTCTGACCCTCCCACTGACTCACCCTCCCACTAAAACTCTCATCCTCCCACTGACTCATCCTCCCACTGAAACTCTCATCCTCCCACTAAAACTCTGACCCTCCCACTGACTCACCCTCCCACTAAAACTCTGACCCTCCCACTGAAACTCTGACCCTCCCACTGACTCACCCTCCCACTGAAACTCTCATCCTCCCACTGAAACTCTGACCCTCCCACTGAAACTCTCACCCTCCCACTAAAACTCTCCTCCTCCCACTGAAACTCTCATCCTCCCACTGACTCATCCTCCCACTGAAACTCTGACCCTCCCACTGACTCACCCTCCCACTGAAACCCTCATCCTTCCACTGAAACTCTCATCCTTCCACTGACTCATCCTCCCACTAAACCTCTCATCCTCCCACTGACTCATCCTTCCACTGAAACTCTCACCCTCCCACTAAAACTCTCATCCTTCCACTGAAACTCTCACCCTCCCACTGAAACTCTCATCCTCCCACTGAAACTCTCATCCTCCCACTGAAACTCTCATCCTCCCACTGACTCATCCTCCCACTAAAACTCTCATCCTCCCACTAAAACTCTCATCCTCCCACTGAAACTCTCATCCTCCCACTGAAACTCTCATCCTCCCACTGAAACTCTCATCCTTCCACTGACTCATCCTCCCACTAAAACTCTCATCCTCCCACTAAAACTCTCACCCTCCCACTAAAACTCTCACCCTCCCACTGAAACTCTCATCCTCCCACTGAAACTCTCATCCTTCCACTGACTCATCCTCCCACTGAAACTCTCATCCTCCCACTAAAACTCTCACCCTCCCACTAAAACTCTCATCCTCCCACTAAAACTCTCACCCTCCCACTGAAACTCTCACCCTCCCACTGAAACTCTCACCCTCCCACTGAAACTCTCACCCTCCCACTGAAACTCTCATCCTCCCACTAAAACTCTCATCCTCCCACTAAAACTCTCACCCTCCCACTGAAACTCTCACCCTCCCACTGAAACTCTCACCCTCCCACTGAAACTCTCACCCTCCCACTAAAACTCTGACCCTCCCACTGACTCATCCTCCCACTAAAACTCTCATCCTCCCACTAAAACTCTCACCCTCCCACTGAAACTCTCACCCTCCCACTGAAACTCTCATCCTCCCACTAAAACTCTGACCCTCCCACTGACTCATCCTCCCACTAAAACTCTCATCCTCCCACTGAAACTCTCATCCTCCCACTGAAACTCTGACCCTCCCACTGACTCACCCTCCCACTGAAACTCTGACCCTCCCACTAAAACTCTCACCCTCCCACTGAAACTCTCATCCTCCCACTGAAACTCTCACCCTTCCACTGAAACTCTGACCCTCCCACTGACTCACCCTCCCACTGAAACTCTGACCCTCCCACTGAAACTCTGACCCTCCCACTGAAACTCTGACCCTCCCACTAAAACTCTGACCCTCCCACTGAAACTCTGACCCTCCCACTGAAACTCTGACCCTCCCACTGAAACTCTGACCCTCCCACTGAAACTCTGACCCTCCCACTAAAACTCTGACCCTCCCACTGAAACTCTGACCCTCCCACTGAAGCTCTGACCCTCCCACTGAAACTCTGACCCTCCCACTGAAACTCTGACCCTCCCACTGAAACTCTGACCCTCCCACTGAAACTCTGACCCTCCCACTAAAACTCTCACCCTCCCACTGAAACTCTCATCCTCCCACTGAAACTCTCATCCTCCCACTGAAACTCTGACCCTCCCACTGACTCATCCTCCCACTGAAACTCTCACCCTCCCACTGAAACTCTGACCCTCCCACTGACTCATCCTCCCACTAAAACTCTCACCCTCCCACTGAAACTCTCATCCTCCCACTGAAACTCTGACCCTCCCACTGAAACTCTGACCCTCCCACTGAAACTCTGACCCTCCCACTGAAACTCTGACCCTCCCACTGAAACTCTGACCCTCCCACTACAACTCTCACCCTCCCACTGAAACTCTCATCCTCCCACTGAAACTCTCATCCTCCCACTGAAACTCTCATCCTCCCACTGAAACTCTGACCCTCCCACTGACTCATCCTCCCACTAAAACTCTCACCCTCCCACTGAAACTCTCATCCTCCCACTGAAACTCTCACCCTCCCACTGAACCTCTGACCCTCCCACTGACTCACCCTCCCACTAAAACTCTCACCCTCCCACTGAAACTCTCATCCTCCCACTGAAACTCTCACCCTCCCATTAAAACTCTGACCCTCCCACTGACTCACCCTCCCACTGAAACTTTGACCCTCCCACTGACTCACCCTCCCACTAAAA